TATATAATCGGATTTCTTAAAATATAATTAATATAATATTTTAACTATTTAATCGTTTTTATAACTTGATTTAACTCACTAACAAATTTGCCAAATTTTTTTGAAATTAAAAAAAAATGGATGATTTTTACTTGTAAAATAATAAAAGATAGCTTTACTTTAAAATCTGGATTATTCCCATTATTTTTTGTACGTTAACAATCATATATTGGATAATTGATTTTGAAAAAAAAAAAATCAAAACAGTAAGGTTTAATAATATTACTTAAATATAAATATTGTATAAAGAGAAATGTGTAATAATATATTCATTGTTTGTATTTATTTTATTTTTCATAATAGACGAGATGTGAAAAATATAAATAATTATATTTAAAATAAACTCTAAAAGAAGTTTAAAATATGAGTTCATCCGTACATCGCACGGGATATACACTAGTTGTAATAAGCTATCGTGGACTAAAAAACTATTAAATATTTATCACTCGGGGTTGAGGTAAGTATTTCTTGTCGTCACACCCGTTCATGTATACGCGCGTCCAGCCCCACTACCGTACCCCCACGCACAGAAAGGTCCATTCCCCCCGACAAACATGGCTCGATTAAAGCAAATAGAACACAGACACACACCCACGTACCTATAATAATAATATATATGTGTGTAAGAGATTCAGCAGACGAGGTGGGCTAAGACTCTTGAGGGACTTCCTCACTTTTCTCTCTCTTTTCTCTTTCACTCCCATTACTTATTTTAGTTTTTCTCTCTCTCATCTTTCCTTTTCCAGTGGTACTTTCATGCATGCATATATACGTATCAGTTACGTACCTGCAATTGCATCTTCACTTTCCATCTTTTTTTTTTTCATTTTACCTGTGTTTGTTTATATTGACTACTCCAAATGTACACAAGTGTGTATTTGGCAGAGGTGACTTTTTGGAGATTAAGAAGGGACAAATCCAAATTTGTCAACTTTTATTAAAGTCGTGATGACTGAATTGCTTTATTTTAAGTGGACAAAGTAATGGTGTGACATTTCATACAACCTTTAATTATACATCTAAAAGACGTCTGTCTGTCAGAGATTAAATTGTGTGTTATGGAGCAAATATAGATTAGAAGGAATGAAGGATAGACCTACACAAATTAAGAAAATGAATTTCAAGAACTTTTATAAATAATTAGACGAGTATACCCTTCATGGGTGATGCAACTTGTAAACCACTGCCACTTAATTATATAGTATATATGACTTACTAATGGAGAATTAATCTAACTTGACAGATTGATTTACTAATTTGTTTATGAAACATGTAGATTTGGGTAGTTCGTTTGGGTAATAATATAATGATAACATTATTTGATGTTTAACATATATATTTTTCGCAACGCAATCTGCAAACTATCTGCAAACTTTTTAACATATATATTGAAAAGTATGGTTGTCTAACTATTAGATATCTTAATTAAAAATTGTTGATAAATAAGTATTACTAAATCTATATATATAATTGCTGGCTAATAGCATTTAAGAAAATATTTAATAAAATCTACATGTTTTTCCCGTTTAAAATTTCAGCCTTTATCCAATCTTTATTGCTACTCGACCGTTACATTTTCCTTTAACTTTTTATCTTTCCTTAATACTTTTGATATTTGTTAATCATTAGTAATTAATTATCCCAATAATAAATAACTTAACTGAATTTGTTTTAACAAGTAATATTTCTTTGATATTCCACAAAATTAATAATATACAACAACAAGTTAGATTATTGTTTGCGAGCATATCAATAAGCACTCGCAGATATGTTACAACAAATAGATATATAACATATATTTGATTAAAAAGTTCGACTATACTTCAATATGCGAACATAACTTTGGATATAAATGTTAATTTTTGTAAAACGTATAAAAAATGACAAATACAATTTTATTTAGCCACTGAGCATAAATATTAAGAAAAGAAAAGTATATTGTTCATCAACATAGATCTACGATTTAAAAAAAAAATGTAAAAGTGCTTCAAATGTAAACAGATCTATTCAGTATTTGCACTATTCCTTACAAATTCATAATAATATACTTTGAAATCGTTATATACCTCAAAATTTCATAGAAATTTAAAAATAAAATAAAAAACGTCCTTAATCCTATTAATATAATAACAAATCTGGTAACATTTTACAAAATACTATAAAAATTAAAATGAAAACAATTGAGATCGGCGTATATCAAGGAAATTACTTAAAATCTGTAAAAGCTAAGATATTAACGCAGAAAACACCTTAAATCTTTGAAAAAACAAACATAAATTATTTTTTGCAAAGAAATTAAATTGAAAATTAAAAAATAATTTAGATCTTCATAGATATAAGCCGTTATCGCCCTATTTGAACCGAAATACTCTAACTCGGTAAATCAAATTTGTAGAATCGGGTTGATTTTGCTTTTTCGATCTCTCTTTCACCTAAGAAAAATATCAAGTGTTTTTCAATATCTGTTTGAAAAACGTTAAAGAATCGCCGGTGAAACATATTCTTCAGCTAGATTGTCGGCAAAATTTTTTTTAAGGTGGCTGAAGAATAGAGTTTGAAACGAATAGAATATGGAAGAGAGAGACAGAGAAGCGCCGACATGAGGCGATAGAAATGGTGATTCATTAGACATTTTAGGGTTTACTTTCAATTTATATGAATATATGAGTCTTACACGTGTGCAGAGCATGTGCCATTTTGTACACATGCATAAACAGCTCCATTTTAAAAAATACTCTACCAAAATGTTCGAAACACAAGTTTTGAATGGATATAAAATTGGATTTTTTTTTTTTTTTTGGCTCGATTTTTAGGTACAAGCTCAAATTTTGAATGCAAAATTTTTGGGTTGCACTCTACCACTATGTATATACATACTATCAATTAAGTTTCTAATAATGGCCCAACATTCATTGTTTTTATTTTTAGGCTGAGTTATTTTTAAATAACTGGCCCAAAAAAAATTAAAGCAACATAGAGTACAAAAAAATATATTTAAAAATAAAAAACTTTTATCTATTTATAGTAATACAAATTCAATCATTTAAACAAGTATAAGCATTAGACGTATGAGTTTAATACATAATATAGTGATTGTTATGTTACAAACTCTCATGTTTTAATATTTGCTCAATATTATTTTGTGACAACTTCTTAAATACAAAGTTTGACATTATCAAAATTATATATGTTATATCTGAAATTTTTAAAAATAAATTGCAGGGTATAATTTAATTATATCAATTTAATTATTTTATGTGCATTATCTGTTTTGTCTATGGTAACATCTTGGTTCCAAAGACCAACATTCCATAATAGTTTGTATTCGAGCGATTTTTGTACAAATTCGAGTGATATGTTTTTTTTTTATTCGAATTTTTTGGTCAAAAGGTACATGATTGGTTATTTACTAAGCTCAACAGTCATGTTCTCGAATGTAGAATTTTGACCATGACAGAGCTGGGGATAAGGTTCTTATTCCTATGCTCACAATCATACCATCCGATTTGACGGTATCTTTCAAGTTTCAGCGCAGACATTTCCCGCTTATGGTTTTCTATGCTATGACAATCAATAAGAGTCAAGGGGAATCTCTATCGCACGTCGGCCTACTACTGAAGAGTCCTGTATATAGTTATAGACAATTGTAAGTGGCGCTTTTCTAGAGTTACGAGTCGGAGGATTTTAAGATAATGATTTTTAGTGATGGAGTTTCTGATGATACGAAAACTACGAACGTTGTATATAAATAAATGTATAATAATATTTAATTTTCTTTCTTAATTTTTTTTCCCCAATGATTATGTTATGATTTTTATTATTATTTATAATTTTTATTATATTTTCCTCTATCATATAGCTTTCCGTGAAAATGCATGGGTTAAAACTACTAAAAAGTGAATATTGGCCACTAATTATTTAACGCGAAGTACATAAAATAAGCAAGATTTATTATAAAATTAATAAATAAAAGAATATTCAAGCATAAATGAAATGTATATTAGGATATTAATTTATAATATAAAAAAATAAATGAAATTAAATTTCCGGTGGGAGTGGTTTCTTCGAATTCGAAGGTGAGATGATTTAGTTAGGGTTTAGAAGATTCGGGGCTTCTTTCTTCTAGATATTACAGGCGAAGATTATGGACGAAGAAATAGGACAAAGATTAAGGCAAAACTTCAATTGTCGATGCAGAAAAACTTATTATAGATATTGAAGAGAAAGATGTGCGATTCACTGCGGAGGAATGCAATCGTATTCTTTTTTGAAAAGTGGTAGGGGAGAAAAAGGTGAATTGGATGGGCATCAAGAGAACGATAGGACTTCTATGGAGAATTGGGAATGCGCTAGAAGTCCGTGAGCAGTGAAGCTATGCAAAGAGTGGATCTTGGAAGAAGCTAGATTTTTTAGAACCAGTATCTACTTCTCCAGCCATTGCAAGAAGGGTTAACAGACAAGCACCAAATTTTGGAGAAATAACAATCTGGGTCCAAGCACATGGTGTTCCGATCAACTAGATGAGAACAGAGGTTGGCCTGAAATTAGGCAGAGCCTTCAAAGATATTAGAAATGTTAATCTAGCTAGAGCTGGGTTCCAAGGGGGCCAGGAATTATAAGGCTACAAGTTACTCTGGACCTCAAGAAACCTCTTCCTAGATTGTCTACAATTAGATTTGGGGAGCAAACAATCACAATCCTCTTTAAATATGAGAATATTGTGAGCCTTTGTTACTACTGTGGGAAATTGGACCATGTGGATAAAAATTGCTCTCAGAAAATGGATGACATAGCTAAGAAAGAACTTAAGGAGGGACAGTACGACGAGTGGATGAGAGCTGCAGAAGGAGTTATCATCTCAGAATCACCACCTCCAAGCAACAACAGTGTCCCGTCCACTAACAGACTGATGGAGACAAATATATCATCAGACCAGAGGGAGCAGGATCAGAGCCCTAAGGTTAATGAGTCCACTCTAGAGAGGATATGTAGCTCTCTAGATACCCTAATCCAGTTAATACATCAAAGAGTCTAGCTATGGTGGAATCCTCCTCATCAATAGCAGAGTTAGAAGACACTATGAGAACAAACATAGAGATAGCTCCACCAACTCCACATTTTCCCTTACAGCCAGAACGAGAGTGGAGTCTGGAATTGATCCCAAAGGTAGAGGAAACCAGAATGGAAATCCAAGGAAAGGGAGATCAAGAGGCCCTGCCCCAAGAGGAGCAGAATAAGAAACAGAAGTGCAGGATGTGGAGAAGGAAAACAGCTAATGTAGGGAGACTAGCAAGACAAGAACAGCAACCCAGCCTTCATGAGATTCCTGCTGGATTAAAAAGAAGAAAAGGAGCAGCCAATACCCAGATTGAAGGAGAGCCAATAAGCCAAAGCCAGGATGCTAGCAATAAGAAGTCCAAAATGTCAGGTAAGGAGGTGGTGGTAGTCAGCCATAATTGGCCCCAGGGTGATCAATGTTACCTCTGGTGTGGAACTGTAGAGGTTTGGGTGGCCCCTCTACGGTTCCCCAAATCCGGGAGGCTTTAAGTACTCATCACCCAAAGTTTTTATTTTTATATACATTATACTACTTTGGTTTGAAGACAGAGTTTGTTTTGTGGAACCAGTGGGTAGTAAAGGTGGTTTACTTCTATGTTGGGACTTGAGTGTGGAAGTTATTCAGGTGAAAAAATCTTCTTTTTGAATCTAAGTTCAACATAAAATCTCCAGTGATGAAGATCCATGTTGGCTAGTCTTTGTGTACCTGAGCACTAAACTATCAACCAGAATGACACAGTGGCAAAACTTACAAAATGACAAACATAACTGGGGAGAGGACTGGTGCCTGATTGGGGATTGGAATGACTTACATGTGGCAGAGTATAAGCAGGGAGGAAGACCAAGATCAGTAAGAAGTCTACTGCCTCTCAATAACTTTATATCCCACATGGGTATGACTGATATCTGCATGAGAGCTATCAGTTTACTTGGTGCAACAACAGAGATGAGGGATGAATTGTAGAGGAAAAATTAGATACTGCCTTTGTCTATTTGGGATGGATGACTAGATACCCTCTCACCCAGGTTCAAAATCTGTTCAGAAGTGCCTCTGATCATGGGATGCTCACTCTCCAATCTGAGGTACCCAAAGAAAAGCACAAGAGGAGATTCAAATTTGATAAAAGATGGCTCTCCAATCAAGGGATCTGGGAAGTTGTCACTAAGGCTTGGGCTCAAAACCAGTTAGGCACACCCTTTTACCAACTGAAAGAGAAATCAGAGTAACTAGAATGGCACTATCTGAGTGGAGAAAACTGTGTGGAACAGAAAGTAGGAAAAAGATAACAACTCTCACTCTAAAGCTTGAAGATATGAGGAAGCTGGGGGAAGAGTATCAAAAAGGAGTTGGAGAATGCTCATTGTTCAGAGGAACTCTTTTGGCAACAAAAATCAAGAAACCTGTGGCTTAAGGAGGGAGACCAAAATTCCAGATTCTTTCATGCTGTGACTGTACAAAAGAGAAAGAGAAATGCCATCACCATAATGATAGATGACAGAAACAGAATTCTCGATACAAAGGAGGAGCTTCAAAATCATATATCTCTCTTTTAGAAGAACCTTTTTACCTCAGAACGGTCTAGGGAAGAGGAGAGAATTCTACAGCTTATTCCTCAATCTATCACCCAAGAGATGAATGTTGACCTAACTGCTGCAGTGGAGGATGATGAGATTAAACACTGTCTATTTTCTATGAATCCAATGAAGGCACCTGGAGAAGAAGGTATGACTGCACTGTTTTACCAGCATTTCTGGCCAGTTATAAAGCAAGACCTTTGTGCAGCTGTGAAAAGTTTTTTCCTATCAAGAAGGTTCCTCAAATATTGGAACCACACCCTTGTGACATTGATCCCTAAATGTGAGAATCCAACTTCTCTGAATAAGTACAGACCTATCAGTCTATGTGCAGTGGTCTACAAAGTGATTTCAAAGATCCTTGCTTCCAGGTTTAAGAATTGTCGTCACAACTGCATCCGCACGGCTCAGGGGGCCTTTATTCCAGGAATATAATTTCTTGACAATGTCATCATTGCGCAGGAAAGATATCATTAATTGAATAGACACAGATTTGGTAAGCATAACTTCGTGGCTTTGAAAATTAGACATGATGAAAGCATATTACAGGGTTGAATGGAGATGTTTGAATTCTTTAATGATTAAAATGGGCTTTGTTGAGACCTTTGTTAAGTGGATCATGTACTGTGTGTCTAGTGCTACATTTTCCTTTTTTCTTAATGGGGAGGCTGTGGGGTTTGTTCATCCTTCAAGAGGATTGAGACAAGGAGACCAAATTTCTCCTTATCTATTTTTGATTGTTTCTGAAGCTTTGTCAGCTCTTATCAATTCTGCTACATCTGGAGGGTTTTTTAAGGGGCTGAGACTGGCTAGAGGAGGTCCTTTACTGACACATCTCTTATTTGCAGATGATCTCCTAGTTTTTTGCAAAGCTGATGTAGGACATGCTTTATTGCTTATGGATATTCTGCAGGTGTATGGGCAATTTTCTGGACAAAAAGTTAACCTGACAAAATCCACAATCTTTTTTAGCAAGAATACATTGCCTCAGATCATAACCAGTATATGTGAAGTGCTAGATGGTCTGAGTACTCACAACTCATCCAGGTATCTAGGACTCCCCTTTGGAATTGGAAAATTAAAAAATGAGGCCTTTGAGTTTGTCACTGAATCTGTCAGAAAGAAGATGATGAGTTAGAAGAATAAATACCTCTCTACAGCAGGAAATGAGGTGTTAATCAAAGTTTTCATCAACTCCCTACCTGTTTTTGCATGTCCTGCTTCAAATTAACTGCATGAATTTGCAAGGTAATAGCTAGCATGACAACCAAATTCTGGTGGAGCAAGGGTGGAAATCAGGAAAGGGGCATTCACTAGAGAAACTTGAACCTGTTAGCATTGCCTAAAACTCAAGAGGGTTTGGGATTCCAAGATATCAGTCTCTTTAATGAGGCCTTGGTGCTGAAGCAGTTACGGAGAATCACAAGTCAACCTGACTTGCTTATCTCCCCAATACTCAAAAGCAGATATTTTCCTCATACATTAATCTTCCAAGCAGTTACAAAAGAGTTCTCCTCATGGCTGTGGTCAAATTGGTTGGAAGTTTTACCTATCTTTAAGTTATTTTCCTGGAAAAAGATCAGATCAGGCAGAAATACTAAGATTTTAGATGGAGGCTGGGTGCCAAGACTTGGTGGCACTGCACCAACTTTCCAACTAGAGGCAGTCTCTAATCCAACATGGGTCTCTGAACTTCGTGATGCCTCTGGGAGAAGTTGGAATGCAGACTTGGTGAGAAATCTCCAGCAGGTAAGTGCAGCTATACTTGACATTGATTCCATTGCACCAGACAGGGATGATAAATGGAAATGGGACCTGAACAAAAAAGGAGACTTTACAGTAGCAGATTCTTACTCCTTTCTGATTCAGGAAAAGGTGCAGTTACTTGACATTGCAGAAGGTAGCAGGACTAGGAGAGTGGACCATTTTGTGAGGGATAGAAGCTGAAAATTGAAAGTGAGAGGCAGAATTAAACACTTTATATGTAAGTGTTTCACTGGTTGTTTTCCTGTTGGAGTGAACTTAAAGAAGAAAAGGGTAGATGTGGATGTTATCTACTCATTATGTGGTGAGGCTGAGGAAACTATAGAGCATCTCTTTCTGCATTACCACAAAGCAAGGACTGTGTGGAAGCTAGCTCCAGTATCTTGGAATGGAATCAACCTGCAAGGCACAACCTTTAAATCATGGTGGTGGCAGGTTTGTGCTATAAATAAAACCGAGACCTCTGAAGCTAGAATCCAACTCTCCACATACATCCTATGGTGGTTGTGGAGATCACGCATTCTCTGGGTATTTAGTACAGAAACGGTGCCAGAAACTATCATCCTAAAGAGATCTATGAGAGAATGGGAGGAGTTCAGAGCTGTGGGTTAGCAGAGGCCACCTATGGAGCTGAGATCCTAGCATGTAGTTGGTTGGTTATTTGTGTGTACCTTTATTTTTCTCTTGCTTTGGTTTGCTTTATGATTAGTTTGTTCTATTGGGTTTTGCAGTCTGTTTTTAGTAGGTTTGATGGGCTGGTATTGTTAGTTAGGTCTTCTTGTGTAGGAGGTGTTGTCAAGGCTCGGGTGTATGTACCCGCTTGATACCTCGGGTGGGTGTATGTTTAGACCACTACTTGTAACGTGTCTCCCAGTTTTATTTCTACCTGTTGGTCGGCTCGGTGGTTATGTACCAAACTATGTTTTATGTTATGAGCATCTCCTATCGTTTGAAAAAAAAAAAAAAAAAAAAAAAAAAAAAATAAGAAAATTTCATTTGAACAATCGAGTAATTGAATTAGGTTATGCTCACCATTACTTGATATTTAAAATAGTCCAGAAACATGACACAACTGAGGTTGATCTCAAGTGACCGAGTTATGAGTTAATGACACAGTTGAGGTTGATCCCGGGTGACCAAGTTATGGATCAGTTTTACCAGACTAAGTCGATTACTGAACTGAATACAATTTTTATTATTAACAATACTTTATTACAATAAATGTAATGTAGTTTCATACTTCAAATAATCATATTAAAAATGCTTTTATGACAACATGTTCAATGATTTATGAACACTTATATATTATTTTATTAATATTTATGCAAACAAAATGATATTGCATTACACCTTTATTAATGTAAGGTAAATCCAAACTTCTCAGAATATGACCGTTTTCAAACCGATCAAGTAATTTATTAAATGATTTATTAATTGGATCAGAGTTTAATTTATTAATATTTTAATATATATATATTTATATTTATAATAAATTTATTAAAAAAAATAATTAAACATCTGATCAATTTAAAAGTTTTCAATGTTTAAACTAAATGATAAAAAATTTATAAATCTCTATTTATTTAAATATGTATTTTTATTTATATTAAAAATTGTTTTTAAATGTAACAAAATTTATTTAGAAAATCGTACTGATACTACCAGTCCGTCCGACTGATGTTGACCGGTTCTCTAGCAAACACTTCATTCAAACGAACCGGACTGATCGATAAACTGGTTTCCGCTCCATCTGGTTGGACTGTTCGGTCCGGTACAGTTTTGAAAACAATGGATAAATTATTATTAACGTTATTATATATTTAATTTATAATACAATTGTAATATTATTCCCCGTGCATCGCACAGGCGACCACGTAGTAGTATTTTATCATAGCCTACAGATTGGATGCATAATATATCACATATTAACTGTATCTTTGATAATATACAAATAGAAAGTCATACCGAACATAACAAAAACTTATAATATTATTTAACACCTAAATATTCCTATATATTAATAATTTATTATTTAATAAATGTATTTTTCGACAACAAATTTCAAGATTTACTTGATGACTATTATTTCAAATTCTACTGTTTATCTGAAAATAATTATTTGTTCCTAATTTACCTACTACTTCATCTTCATATGAAAGAATAAATATTTCAAGATATTATAACAAAGTTAATTTCGCTTATGAATTCATAAGAATTTTCCCTTTTATCATATCAATTAATTTGTTATGTGCTTGAAAAATTGTATTAAAGCAAATGCAAAGCAAATCAAACAAAGAAAAGAGTGGGGTTGGATTAGACATGAGACATGATTTACTATTTTTTATGTTATGCTGTGACCATACCATTTTAACATATTCTGAGTTCTTCATATGCATAGTGTGAGTACAATATTTTCCAACTGTACTCACTCCCACCTACTCTTCAGGATGCAGGTTAAGCAGTTGGCGGCTGACGAGACNCTTCTTGGAAGTTTTCTCTTTCTAGAGTCTCGTTCCACTAGTTGGATCTTGCTTGTTTTTCTCTTCTTTCCCGATTGATTCTTTGTGTTCTTGCTATTTCTTTGCTTTCATTATCATATGTTTGTGTCTTAGGTTGTCTATTTCGTTCTTCTTTGTCGGGTAATAATTTGTATACGATATTAGTGCCATGAATAGATTTGCCAGATCTGATGCAACCTTGTTCATTATCGTTGTTTATTCTTGTCTGAGTGTATTCTAACATTGGAAGTACCATTTACCTGGGGCATTGTTGATTATTTTCCTGTGGCAGATTAGAATTAGGGTTAGTGTTTCTAGTTTTGAGGTTTTTAGGGTTTCTAATCAAGATAGTGATTTTAATTACCAACTACGAAGGCTTAACGAAACTAATTAAACTTAAAAGCAAAAACGAAGATCAAATGATGATAAGAAACTACAGAGTCGGGGATGATGATCTCAAAGCAATGTAAATATCAAGCTAAGATCATTCGGTTAAATTATACGAACAACCTAACGTCTAGAGATTAATCCTCAATAACTCTTCGTAACAAGAGCGTACACAACACATAGGCAATACGTTTCCGAACAAGCGTATTTCATACGAGCCTAGATCGATCAACTTTTCCCCTTTCGGTTCTAAGAGTGGATTAAATTATTCTAGACGATTGTTAATCAACTAGTTCGATAGATATAAAAAATATCACACAAAAACGAATCATATTCAATTGGAAATCAATTGCAAATCAAAGTGTCACTCTTCGACAATATTTAACATTCAATGCACGATAATTATAAGCCCTAGTTAAGAACAACTCGCATAAACTGAAAGATCAACAAGCATGATAATCACAACCAAATTCTAAACATCATCATCATCCCATATCCCTAGCGAACGAATTAGTTACTCATAAGCATTCATATTCAAAGATTAATTAAAAAGGAAAACTTACGATTAATAGAGAACCAAGAGTCGAGTCCAATGAACAAGTTCAATCCAAAAAAATAAAGAAAAAGTTGAGCAAAAACAACGATCAAAATCTAAGATTAAGAGTAGGAGAAAGTGAAAAAACGATATTGGGAATTATTCCCTAAGTCTGGGGGGTCATTCCAATATATAGGGCTCAAGAAACCGAGCCAAAACGAGAAAAAACGAAGAAAAATAAAAACAGGGGTCGACTCGAGTCGGTCGGGTCGTGGGGTTTGCAGGACAAGGGCGTCGCGCGCGCGCGCAGGTCGCGAGGGGGCGCGTTGGGCTCTGTTTCTCGCGGGTCGCGAGTCGCCTGGTCGCGCTGCGTGGGCTGGGCGTGGGGTGTGGTCGCGGGTCGGGCTGCACTGCGCAACCTTAAGTTTCGACCTTGTTTGAGCTCGTCCGAACTCGGAATTGAGTTCTATTTTTTCCTACACGTCACTAACAAACCCATCTATTCAATTATGCTCTCGAAACCAATTTTTCCTGTTGAGAAAATTTGACCGAAGTTCCCTATCTACACACCAAAAACGACAAAACACGAAGAAAACTGGAAAAACAAATGAAAAACATCTAAAGAATCAAAATGAAGGAAAACACATAATAAAACACGAAACGGACTAAAAACAAAAGAAACGACCTAAAACGAGGAAAACAGAAATGCAAAACGAGCACAAAAAATGTAACAAAAATGGGACAAACAGACTCACCATGGATACCTCACCCTACACATTTCTCCCCTACTTTACAATTTCCCAAGGATAGAGAGAAAATCAGAAAAGTGAGAGATCTTTTTGTGCCTCATACATGTGAGTGGGATGTGGAGCTGGTGGAACAAACCTTCTCTCCTGAGGAGGCTGAATATATTTTAAACATTCTCATACGCAATGCAGGTGCTCATGACAGGTTGGTGTGGCACTGGAACCACAAAGGCTTGTTCATTGTCAGTGAAGTGTACAAAACTCTACTTCAACACCAATTTAATAATCTGATGACAACAACCTCCACCTCTGATAGTAAGAAGATGCAGGCTATGTGGGGCAAGACTTGGAAACTCAAAGTAAAAACCAAAATAAAAAATTTCATATGGAGGTGCTGGTATGGATTTCTAAACACAAATGCTCAATTGTTGCATAGAAGGATCAATGTGGATTCTATTTGTTGTATTTGTGGTGAAGAGACTGAGAATCTGAAACTTGTTTTCTTTACATGCCAGAGGGCTGTGAATTGTTGGAAGTTAAGTGGTTTGCATTGGGTGCACTTTGATAGAAATAAGATATCTTTTGTAGATGGTGGGATGATCTATGTTCTGGGACGAAAGATTGTTATTTGCAGGATAGAATCAACCTCTCAACCTACCTCCTTTGGTGGTTGTGGAGGACCAGAAATTCTTTTTTGTTCTCTAAAATTAGAATCTCGGATAAGGATATAGTGGATGGTGCCTGGAAAGAATGGAGAGAATTTGAGCTGGTATCTCTTAATTTTGGGAACTGTACTCAGAGTGCTAGCATTCTGGGAATGGGATTAAAGGATTCAGAGGCTGCTGGAGGAGGAGTAGGACAGACTATTGTGACTGTCAGTGCTTGCCTTTTTCCAGATGGATTTGTGGGATTTGGGGCTGTAGTGGAGTCTGAGGGTAAGGTATTGTTTCAATGGAAGGCATGCTGTGAAAAAGCTCAATCAATTGATGAGCTAACTCTTAGGGCAGTAAGATGGATGCTGATGAAGATTAAACAAGCAAGGATCCTCACTTCCTTATGCTGAAGGGTGGATTCAACTCTGATTGCACAGATGCTCAACAACAAGAAGAAAGCAGATTGGGGAGTGAGGGTGCTTGTTACAAATATTGGGTCTGCAGAGTTTGCTAGTTGCTCCTTTTTTTGTGATAAATTTGCTTGTACTTTTTCTTTGTCTTTGGCTATGGAAGCCTTTCAGAGAGTCTAATGTGGGCTTCTCGTAGCTTGTAGTATTTCCATTTGTACTCTCTCTCTCTCTCTATTGTCTATGGGGTCGTTTACTTCTCTGGACGGGATTGGATAGCTAAATTTGTCACACCATATCATCTGTTTACTTTAAATGATTGGGTAGGACTCTTTCTAGTTGGCACCCATGTGACATGCAGGTCCCACAGTGTAAAGTAGACGTTGGACATTTGTATCCACTGGCACCCATGATAAAATAAATCCTTGGTGGAGGGGGGGAGGTCGGATTTTTTTATCCTATTTTTTACAATGTCCATTTTTATCCTATTTTTTATCTCATGAAGTAAATGTTGGACAACTTACTAACGTGTAAAGTAGTTGAATTATTTGTTTAATCCTATCAAGCAAAGTGAATGAGGCCTATATGTCTTACTGCTACTGCTGCACCCCTCATACAAGGGAATGTTACTTGCAAGCTACTATTTATTCGGAGTATTTATACAAACTACCATCACTTTAAAACACTTCCTAATATCACTCTACCAAATCTTTTACCTGAAACCATCTTTATATGATTCATTGATTCTTGCCCACAATTCTCTTTCCTATTCCTTTTTTCTTCAAAAACCACTGTCAGCCCATTTCCAATATGTTTTGCCTCTTTCCTTTCCATCCTTCCTAGTGATTCAATCCCTTCTTTGCCTTCTTCTGGTTTAATGCAAAGAAAAATCTGAAATTTAAAGGAATCTCTGAGTGGAATTTCATGGAAATTGATCTGAACCATGCAGTGTGTGAGACGGCGGAGAAGAATGCATGTACCAGTGGAGGAGAATGCGATAATGGTGTGAAAAAAAAAATGGAACTTTATGTTAATTAATTGCTCCCTTTTCCGCTTTAACATAGTCTTGCTCTTCAAAAGTTAGTTTGGGTAATTGTTCATTTTTTTTTTTTTTCTTTTTTTGGGTTCTTCAGTTTCAGCTCAATCGTCAATTTACATGGAGCTATGGCACGCATGTGCTGGTCCTTTAACCAGCTTGCCAAAGAAAGGTGAGGCTGTGGTGTATTTACCTCAAGGTCACTTGGAACAAGTTTGCTCCTCTACACAAATTTGTCCACTAGAAAGTCCTACTTTTGATCTTCCTCCCCAAATCCTGTGTCGGGTTGTGGGTGTTCATCTACTTGTAAGCTCTTTTAACTTTCAATTTTTACAATTATTTTCTTATGTAATAGTTTTTTTCTCCTCAATTTCTATTTTCTTTTAAACTTTTTTGGTTGATTTTTGCTTCACTGAAGTTTGGTTTGATTTTCTTCTTTTTCTCCCGTTATGGGATGTTTTGTTCAAATTGATCAGCATAGTTTTGTACCTCTAAAAACAGGCTAACAACGAAAATGATGAGGTGTACACTAAGTTGACTCTACTTCCTCTGTCAGAGGTATCCATTAAAATCTTTGTATTGAATTTGTCGATAATTATATTGCTGTTTGTGTTCTGATTAGTGAAAGAACTGGATACTTCTTGTTTTTTGGCCGACTCTATAACCTTCCTTGATGATATATGGATTTTGTGGAGTGATTTCTGGAATGGACTGGGGGTTTAGCTCTCTGAGTATAAAGGATTGGAAATAACATTCATAAAGAAATCAGAATTTTCCAAAGAGTCCACTAATTTTCAGATAAAAGAAACAGAAATCTCATTAATAAACCTTATTTTTTTTTTCGATTACCATGTATTTGAAAGCAGGCAGTCGGTACGAAATCCAATGGCAAAGAAAACAAAAATGTGGGATGGGAAAATGATGATGAAAATGGAAATGCTGCAGCTAACTCAAGCACACACATGTTCTGCAAAACTCTAACTGCATCTGATACAAGCAGTCATGGTGGATTTTCTGTTCCTCGTAGGGCAGCTGAAGATTGTTTTCCTCCTCTGGTTTGTACCAATGTGCTATGAATAAGTCACTCATGAGTTTACTTTCTTTAGTTTAATTTTTTATCTTCACATTTGTAGGATTACAAAGAACAAAGGCCTTCCCAAGAACTGGTTGCCAGAGACCTCCATGGAGTGGAATGGAAATTCAGACACATTTACAGAGGTATATTTATTATTTAGTATATCGACTTCTATTAAATACTTTAAAATATGGTATTTTCTTACTATTTGATCTCTAAAATTCTTGTAGGCCAACCCAGGCGGCATTTGCTCACCACAGGGTGGAGTTTATTTGTCAGCCAAAAGAATTTAGTGTCTGGTGATGCAGTTCTTTTCCTTAGGTGCAGATTCATTTGAAAACATTTATGCGTATCTGTGATTTATTGGAAGGATTGATGCTCTAGAAACTTTCTTTTGAAAACTAAAACTTTGTGTCAATCATGAAATTCGGCCTGGTAAAGTGAAAATGTTATTAAAAGAAACGAGATTCAATCCAATTAAGTGAGTAACATAGATGTATATTTTAACGATGGTAATTAGTATTTTCTTGGCTCGTGTGTGTTATGACAGAGGAGAATCTGGAGAGCTGCGTTTAGGAATTCGAAGAGCAGCACGGCCTAGAAATGGAGTACCTGATTCAATCATAAAATCTCAGAGTTCTTATCCCAGTGTACTTGCCCCTGTAGCAAATGCATTATCCAACAATGGCACATTTTGTGTTTTTTGTAGCCCAAGGTACTGTAGTGCACTCCCTTACATTCTTGAAATGAAACGCAGCGGAAATTAGATAAAATAAAACAAGCATTTATCTAATAAATACTAACCCCAGTCGATTCACGTTGCAATTATAACGATCGGCATCGTCAAAATCACGTACAAATTTTGATTTGTAAAGATTTTAAAAAGTTACTTATTAGTTTTCTTCGTATAGCGACGAAGGAGAGAGAAACAATTCTCGGGTATGATTATGGAGCTTTTGGATTCACGTGGCAACCACCATCTTTGTTTATTCGACGATGACCAAAGGTTTAGGAAACTGATTTTCAAATACTTGGTCAAAAGTCTATCCTCTCTTCTTTTCATATTTCCGGTAAAATACAAAATAAAATACCAAACATGTTAATATATGGACTTGAGTTTTATAATTCAATTTTAAAATTCAACTATATTAATTAATATACAAATTCAATCATTCCAATTTATTTTGTTCCTTTAATTAGCATCTAACAAAATTACATTTAATTAAATAATCAAATTATCTAATGTCTTGTCATTAATCTAACCGTTGAAGATACCAATTTCAAAATTGTCATCATCCAAAAAAATCGGTCTAACCCTTTTTGGTCGATGATTGACACTACTAGTGAGTTTGCAACTCATTGGTAATTTTAATTAATTCAATTGATTTATATTCTTGAAATAACTTTTTTAATTAATTAATTTTAATTCAATTAATCCTGAGGTTACATGTTGATATACGATACTAAGTTCTGTATCTAGTAGTACATGTAAGTAGAGAGAGAGAGAGGTAATTAATGTGAGAGTGATTGAAACCTCAACAGCATCTCCAAGTTAGAGGTGCTCTTGTAAGAAGTATATACATGGCGTAAAGATTGAAACCTATGCAGCCAGTGTTTGGACCTAAAGATACAAAACACATTATAATAATTCCATACAGGTTACAAGCATTCTTCTTTTTCAACGATATGAAAAGGTGGGCTAAATAAACTTTCCAAATTTCAATCTGTTAATGTTTTCCATCAACATGTCATCTATGGGATCGTAAGTTGTATGCCTGTTTTCAGCTGTTTGGAGATTATTTGCTACCATTCTTGTGTATTAAATGCTTGTATATTATCTTCTGCATCTCAGGGGAGGCCATGCTGATTTTATTGTACCTTACCAAAAATATTTGAAGTGCACCGCCTCTAATGCAGTTGTTGGGATGAGATTCATAACAAGATTTGGCTTGGATGATTCTCCTGAAAGAAGGTCCCATAAAATTCAAAAAAGTATTGTCACAGTTTTTATGTTTTTCCAGTTTTTTGCTTTATGGATAAGAAAAATATATACTCTTACAGGTTAAGTGGAGTGGTGACTGGAGTCACAGATGCCGATTCTTTCAGATGGACAAACTCCAAATGGAGATGTCTAATGGTAAGTAGTACTGAATTATCTGTGAATCACTTGTGCTTTAACTATTTTCTAGTGTACCCTTGGACTGTTCATAAGAGAAAATAGCATTTTTAATCTTGCCTGAGTTTGGCGAAGAACGTCAGTCAAATTGAACGCTAACGAATCCTAAGAAATTAAAGCGCAACAAATCTAAAGTTTAGGATCAAGATTTTACAGTTTGTGATTTGCCTACTCTGAGATGACATACATGATTTACGTGGTGAACTCTTCTGCCCTTCATCGGGGTTAGGCGTCGTGTGGGCAAAGATCTCCCAAACGATGGTTGCCGACTCTCTTCTCTCTCTCGTCTAATCTCACGGCCCTCCCTCTCTCTCTCTGAGTGTGGCTTGAAATTGATGATGTCTAGCAAGAGAATGAGACCCCCACATGGTGTATTTATAGGCAACTGCAGAGACCTTAAGTATTAAGGATTAGGTGAGGAATACTTGGGTTATGCACCACCCAATTCCTATGCTTATTAATAACAAATCTCCACTGTAAATTTATTATTGCTCTACCATTTCCAAATTCAAATTACTGGGGCTTCTCGATTTATCCCCCGTGTTTAAGATAATAACATCTTAGGTTTTTTCGAAACTAGTACCACCCAACCTTATTATTATGTTGGAACTTAATTCAGAGGTAGCCTAAATTCCACAACACAAACATAAATAGAACACACAAAAAAATAAAAAAAAAGAGGTCGCACAAATTGAGTATACACACTCGTAAAAAGGAAAAAAAATACCACAACAAATACTTACCCTCACACAACAAACACACACTCACAAAACAAACACATAACCTAAAAAAACAACAAGAAATAGTCACAATAAAGCCCTCCTCCACAGCGGCCGGCTCGTTAAGGCTCAAATTCAGCTCGACTCATTTGATAAATAAGTCGAGTTCGAGCTCATTTAAAGCTCGTTTGGCTAATGGGCCGAGCTCGGCTCAGTAAGGCTCGTTAAGGCTCGAAAAGAGAATTTTTATATAATTTTCGATAATTAGGCTCATTAAAGCTCGAGATCGACTCGTTATTAGTGATAAATGAGTTGAGCTCGAACTCAATTTCAGGCTCGTTTATCGTTTAGAGGCCTATTAATGACATACGTAATAAATAAGGGAGAAGTAAAAGGTACCTTTATAAATACTGCACATTTTCACTTTTAGTATGCCAGAAAACAAAAGAGTAGAAAAATGCCCGTCCCTCAAATATAGTTTGTTTTATTCTTGTTAATATATAAATGTTATTAGATTATAGAGATGAATTTAATGATGTTTTAGTTTATCAAGTGATTACTCCCTTCCAATGCTACGTTGTGGCTATAAATCTATATATATATAATTGTAGGCTATCCAATTAATGTGGATAGCCTACTTTTCCCTCCAAAACCACTTTTGGCCTAAATAAGGTAAGTCTTTTTTTTTACTTAATTCAACATTTACGTTTTTTCCTTTTTTTTTCGTATTGACTAAACTGACGTGGCAAAATGTTATTGGTTAAAGTATTATTTGTTATCATTCATTTTTTAAATTTCCTTTTAGTCTGAACTTCTCTTTAAAAATAGTTATAAAGTAAAAGAAAATTAATAATAAATTTACCAACAATCAACATTAATATTATAAAGCGTGTACAAAATCCAATTAAACCCCATAGCTTCAATATAATATTATTTCTTGCAATCCATTTAGATATGATATTCCTGCAAATGATGAAAAAGATTAGTGATATTAAATTATAATAACTAATTCCATTTAAAAAATAAATGCATGTTAATATTATAATTTTATTAAATACTAAAATCAACATTGTATAAAAAAAAATCAATGTTGAAAAATCAAAAGCTCATTGGTTATAATAACATTGCATCCAAAAACAACAAATAAATATTCAGAAACTCAACACCAACTCATAAATTGCGAGAAAATCAATAACACATTATTATATATTGATTTTGGTCCAATTATTTGTACGGTATGTGATTTTTTTACTTTTACACACGATGGAAATTGACTAATTATTTATACATATATATTATCACGAGATTGATTTCACGAGATTGATTTTTTTAATTTATATATATAAATTATAAAGTTCTCATTTGGATAATTCGATTTGATATTTCAATTACAAAAAATCAAGAACTGAGATTATGGCACATTTACAAGACAACCAATATATTTTCGCTAAAATCAAAAGTTGGTAGTCCAATAAATGTATTGTATATTTGACTTTCCATATTTCTAATATATAATAATATAATAATTATTACGAGAAGAATCAAAATTTTTTACTCTAAAATAAAAGCCATAGTTGGCAGAAATTTCAGTTACAAAAATCATATCAAATGCGCCACTATTATGTAGTTCATATTTTTTCAGTTATCAAAATATTTTCAACAATAATCATGCTCTTGATTTATAGTATTTACATTAATTATTTAATAGACTTCTGTAGATGCTTATAAATAGAACAAAAATCAGACACATTTTCACCTTGCATTTTCACACTCATAATCTCAGTCACCGAAAAAACTATTTCGACACAAAATATTTCTTTTGAGTTCCAAATGGCAATGCAATTTGATAATATGATTTTTTTGGCTAAGAACAAGAAAAAAAACTGCAATATTGCGATTGATTCAATTTTAGTCAAAGAAATTTTCGACAAACAAAGAAATAATTACTGGGTTGGAGTTTGTTTTTCATGATGTTAAGACATGTATAAAATGTTTATATGAAAGACTCAATTACATTTTAACGTATATGTGTTTCTGATTTTATATCTTATACATCCAATTAATCTCTGACTTCTTAGGGTGTGCATATTCATGCATCAACACCCGGATGCTTGGCAGCAAAGTTCAAGATGTTTGAACTTAACAAAGGTCGTATATATAGGGATTAAGTGCTTCAAATTTTTATTTTTTTATTTATTTTTATGTTAAGACTCACATGCATGAAATTACAATAAAGTTTAGATATAATCTGTTGCTTTTCACTAACAACTATTTTTTTTTAAAAAAAAACATACAATAAGAAAAAGCCCTAAACGCAAATCTGTTCACATCTATAAAAAATGAAAAATAAGTTGAAAATCCTTAGAAATATATAGATCTGTTGCTATTTTTCTCAATTATATCGTAAAACCCCCTCATATTTGCAAAACAAATTTTGCATAAAATCTAATAAAATAAATGTCTTCATTTGAAATATATTCTATTATTATTATAATAAAATTATTAAAATAGTTATAAAAACATTAAAGAAAATAAAAAAATTGTTTGAACACCATAGTTGTACCGGGTTCTATTGTTTAGAATTATTTAGAACTCAGCAACAACACAAGAAATTCAAAAATTTGTTTGAACACCAAACCTGTACTGGGTTTCTATTGTTTAGAACTCGATAACAGCGAAAAAAATTCAAAAAGAAAAAAATATAAACCGAAATTTGCGAAAGTGTATCGACAAATTTAACTGGTTTTCTACATTTTAGAAACTGGTAGCCAAAAGTCATTTCAAAATTTTGTCTAGATTGATTCTTTTTTTTTTAATATTAAAACCCTCAAAATTTTTAGGGTTCATTTGTACATAGATCTAGATCAATAGCTTCATCGTTTATAAATTAAAAGCATGTGTATGGCGGCTAAACAAAATCGGAATCAATCCGAGTGTTTGTCTCAGAGAAAAAAATTAAAATTGAAGAAGAAGCGATGAAAACGTTACAGGTGGTAGGGTTTCAGGCATTAAATACCTGCCTCTACCACCTTCTTGAATGTTCTACATTTGTGTGGTGGATGAAGCTTTGACCGTGCTATATATATTGGTCTGTGCATTTGAGTTATGTTTAATTTGGCCCAGTTTTGGGCCCGAAATAAAATAAAAATTAAGAAAAAAAAAAAACGAAACATCAGCCTTGATATTACTAAATTGGATTCAAACGAAATGAAGTTTATTTGGCCCAGTTTTGGGCCCGAAATTTATAAAAAAAATAAATCTTACTGTTTGATTTTGTTTGGGCTTTGTTAATAAAACAATGGGTTGCGAATGTTTCGGCTTAAGTTATTTAAAAAAAAAAACAATGGGTTGCGGCTTTACTTAAAACATTCTCTTACTAAATTTTTTTATTGGGCTACATCAAGAAATCAAATTGGGTTTCGAAAAATCATGAACATTGTATATAAAGAAGTGTGTAATATTTAAATTTTCTTTTTTAAAATATTTTTAAATGATTATGTTATGATATTTACTCTTGTTTATATTTTTTATCATATAGTAAGTTCACCGTGCATTTGCACGGGTAACAACTAGTTGTTATTATATTGTAGAAATAACTAATTTATCATGTATTAAATTTTTCAAGGTTCTCTAATTTAAATTTTGATATAAGTTTTACTCGGACTAGATTAGCAGGCCATGGGACCTCTTAATTTGTTTATGAAGTTGAAATAGAATGTATAGTAAATTACACTAAACCATTATAGGTATTTTTGTTGTAAATATTTTTATTATTATTATTATTATTATTATTATTATTATTATTATTATTTATTTATTTATTTATTTATGGTTCACTGAACTATCTGGGTTTCCCAATTTTCGCATATAATACCTTTATGCGCCACAATTAAGTGATCACAGTATGCAAACCATCTAAATATTGATGCAGTCAACTACACACAAGATGTTCGCATATATACCCATTGCTAACACAACTACTTTCATTATGCTTTAGGTTAAATGGGATGAAGACATGACGACTAATCATCAAGAACGGGTTTCACCATGGGAAATAGATTTCTCAAGTAACTACGCACCTCTAAGCATCGAGTCCTCCCCTAGAACAAAAAGACTGAGGTCAACTTTACATGCATCTCATGATGGTAGCTAGCTCATACCTTCCCTAAAATTATATTTGAATAACTTAATTTATTGTAATTTTTAGAAACTAACCTTTTTCTCTGCTTAAAAGCAGGAAATATTCTGCATTTGGATTTTGAGCAGCACGAAAGATCCTCTAAGGTCTTGCAAGGTCAAGAAAATATCGGTCTAACATCATCTCTCGGTTTTGAAATACAGACATCAGCTCATCTTCCTTTACCAAATGGAATGGAAAGGACTAATGAGTATAGTGAGTTTGTGAGCAAGCAGGCTCATGCAACTTTCAAGGGCTTTCTGGAATCTGATAGGTTTCCGAAGGTCTTGCAAGGTCAAGAAATTTGCTCGTTGAGCTCTCTAGCTGGGGAAAAACACTGGAATCTTGGTCATTTGTCTAATAAACCCATATTTGCTTTCAATAGTTTCAACATGTATCATGGGCCGATGCTCGGCTTCTACCCTTTGGCTTCTGAAGGGGCTCGAACTATGCCGTTCACTTATAAGGACTTTTATGGAGGTCGACAAGGCATTAAAATGCAGAAAAATAGTTTCGATGTTCTGACAGGAAATTACGTCACGACACCAACTTCTGTTCTGACCCAGTCCACCTCAGATGTGTTTGAGGGCAGAAATCTAGCGAACGAGAATCCTACAAATGCGCTAATGCATCTCAAGAATATGAGTGGTGAAGATAACTTGGAGAAGGTCCCTAGTTGTAAATTATTCGGTTATTCCTTGGTGGAAGATCCTGCTCTACTTAATTCTCAAGCCCAAAGTAAGAGGATGTGTGTTAAGGTAACATTCCAAGTGGTTGCTACTTGAGAATTGATATTTTTTTTTCTTTTTTTTTTTCTTTTTAGTGTTTTGTAAGCTGTTTCAGATTTCAGATTTTCTGCTTCTAAATTCGACTTATATTCATGTATAAGCTCTTTCTAANAAAAAAAAGTCAGTTTCTTATTTGCAAAAGCACTAACAACTCTTGACCATTCTTCTTCCGCTGCAATAAATCATTTCTTATGAACTACGGGGTGATTTGGTTCATATTTATAGGTGCACAAACAAGGCAGCTTGGTTGGTAGAGCCATTGATCTTTCCAGATTACACGGTTATAATGAGCTGCTAACTCATCTGGAAAGATTGTTTAAGATGGAGGGTCTCCTTCACGACCCTAAACATGGATGGCGTGTACTATACACTGATAGTGATGACGATATGATGGTAGTTGGTGATGATGCATGGTGGTAAGTTTCTGAACAAGCAGCAGATTAATTTTTAAATATCATTTTTACCATTGTTTTCTGTGCTTACCAATTCTGGAAGTTTCTGCTATACATTCTCACTACCATTTCAAGAAGAAGGAAAAAAAAGGGAAAGAAAAAAAAAATAGTAAAAGGAATAACTATATGCTAATGATGCCTCAATAGGTTCAGCATTTGACAAAATAGAAACATACATTAGGAGTTGCAAAAGATATTTGTAATCCTGGAAGTTAATTCAGTTCTTCTGTACCTAGTGTAGATTTCAAAGTTTGAATTGGAAGTTTCCCATGTGTCAAATTGCTTGTACACAAACAGAAGTTTTGAATATGAGTGCCTAATTGACTCTAATTTGCAGTGATTTTGTTGAGGTGGCCACAAAGATCCATGTATTGACGCAAGCCGAAGTTGATAAAATGATGGTCGACTTAAATAGTGATGACACTCAAAGCTGTCTGGAGGAAGCCCCAACAATTTAACTGAATGTGGCCGATATCACAATCTTTACCTGCTACTGTTGAATAAACTTGTGTGGCTGCCTGTTTGATGTGTTAGGGCCATTGTAAGGGTTATGTTTTTCCTTTTGCTCAAGACAGTGATTCTGTACTATTGCCTGCAGTCGGTTTCTTCTAATTTTGGATGATTGTTCTAATCAGTAGCTTGGTGTATGTGTTACAACTATGGGTATAATAATACACGGGAATCCTACTAACTGATATGTATTTTTCAGTTCTTACAAATAATCTAAAAAATAGAAAATTACAATAGAACTGAAAAAATAAATTACAACTGGAAAATAAATTAAAACCTAAAACGGAAAGATTTTAGCCGAGGCGAGTAAAACTCTTTCCGCAAGAAGAATACGCCCCGTGTGGCTGCTAACGGTTCAGGCGTAACTTCCCCAAAGATACAACGGCAAACGTCTCTAAATCTGTAGCACACCAGATTTACGAGCTCCGGCGAACTAGAACGGAGTCGAGAATTGAGCACTAAAAAATAAAATTATCTATAAGATAATTTTCTCTTTTTTTTTTTTCCCCTTTATTCTTTCCTCTCTTCTACCGTGTTTCTTTCTTTCTTTCTGTGTGTCTTCTCAAATGAGCAGAGACTCTATTTATAGATGAGAAAATGCTAATCAAGTTGCTTGGGAATCAATTCTTTGCAATAATTATGATCAATTATTTGCAATAATTTTGACCAATTATTTGCAATAATTTTGATCAATAATTAAAGTCAACTTTGCCAACCAATAATCCAAGTTGTACAATCATTTACACTCAATTATTAAAACAATCCCCCACATGAGTTTAAATTAAATATATATATATATATATATATATATATACTAGCGTGCTCAAACCTCACAAAACTCTATTGCATCAGAAAAGGTAGCTTTTGGCTTTGAACCTTTCGTAGTAAATATCATCGGATGCACTAGCGGCCTAGTGGACATAATGCCTTGAACTATTCCTCTATAGTGTACACCAAGACAATGACATTCACACAATAGAGTCTTAACTCCATTCCGCTCTATCGTTGTGTCCGTTTTGGCCATGGACATCACTTTGGATTCATAAGTGTTTACAATAGAAGCGGCCCACACTTCACACTTATATAGGTGACTTCCCTATCAAAAGTATCCTGTATTACTCCACATTTACAAGGTTAGGGATTCATTAAAAGTCCACATGACTTACCCTCACCACAATCAACAGGTCATCTTGCACTTGGAGTGCTCAAGGGAATAGCTTTGGACATTCATATGTTCCAAGTGCTCAACTGAATTTCATAGCTTAGTTTTCCCTTTGAACCAAGTTCGTGGGATCTCCACTTAGCATGGTAGGGTTACCACTATGATCATTCTTTATATTGTGGATTTTTAAGCCCATTCCCTCTAGCAAAACTACCAATTGATCTCTATTCAATCCTTTCGTCAAAGGATCAGCCAAATTTTCCTTAGACTTCACATAGTCAATGGAAATAACACCATTTGTGATCAATTGTCGTACGGTATTATGTCTACGACGAATATGTCTAGACTTACCGTTATAAAAGTTACTTTGCGCCCTTCCTATAGCAGCTTGGTTATCACAGTGAATCATCACAGGCGGCAAAGTCTTATCCCAACATGGAATATCGGATAAAAAATTTCTAAGCCACTCGGCTTCTTCACCAGCTTTATCTAAAGCGATGAACTCCGATTCCATAGTTGAACGAGCTATACACGTTTGTTTTGTGGATTTCCACGAAACTGCACCTCCTCCAATACAGAAAACATATCCGCTAGTGGAGCGAGAATCTCTCCAATCTAATATCCAGCTTGCATCACAGTACCCTTCAAGTACGGCTGGATATCTCGAGTATTTTAGCCCGTATTCAAGGGTGTACCTCAAGTACTTAAGTACCCTTCTCAAAGCATTCCAGTGTTCATGACTGGGATTGCTCGTAAATCTGCTCAACTTATTCACCGGGTAGGCCAAGTCTGGTCGTGTACAATTCGTCAAGTACATCAGACTCCCTATTATCCGTGAATATTCCAACTGAGCCACTGGTTGACCTTTATTGGCTACCAGATTTATACTAAGATCAATGGGTGTCTTACACCTAGACTGTGCACCGTCATAGGTATCAAATTTCTTGAGCACTTTCTCTACATAATGAGATTGTGACAAGACAATTCCATCTTGGGTTCTGATAATCCTTATTCCAAGAATAACATCAGCCAAACCCATATCTTTCATGTCGAAATTCCTTTTCAACATTCTTTTCGTATCCATGATCACTTCATAGCTACTCCCCATGATCAACATATCATCTACATATAGACATACAATCACAAATGCATTTGATGTACTCTTGTCATAAACACATTTGTCACATTCGTTGATTTTGAAACCATTTGACAACATCACGTTATCAAATTTCAAATGCCATTGTTTCGGAGCTTGTTTCAGTCCGTACAAGGATTTGATCAATCTACACACCTTTCTCTCTTGTCCAGGTGCAACAAACCCTTCAGGTTGTTCCATGTATATTTCTTCTTCCAATTCACCATTTAAAAATGCTGTCTTGACATCCATTTGGTGAATCTCAAGATTGTGCAAAGCAGCAATCGAAAGTAGCACTCTTATCGACGCTAAACGCGTAACTGGTGAATAGGTATCAAAGAAATCATACACTTCTTTTTGTTTAAAGCCTTTGACCACCAAACGTGCTTTAAACTTATCAATCCACTTGCATCCTAAAGGTTTACAACCATCAGGGAGATCAACCAACTCCCAAGTATGGTTCTGCATAATGGACTCGATTTTGCTATTTACAGCTTCTTCCCAGAGTGGTCCATCTGGGCTGGACAGAGCTTCCTTAAGAGAACTCGGTTCATCGTCCAACATGTACGTAATAAAATCATGTCCAAACGTTTTCACCGTTTTTACCCTTTTACTACGTCTCGGTTCTTCAGCAGTACCCTCTGGTACAGAACCACTAGCAGTTTCATACGTTCGTTTATTAGAACTAGATTCTGTTCTTTCCTTTAGAGGAAAAATATTCTCAAAGAATACAGCATTCCTCGACTCAATCGTGGTACCAACAGATACCTCTGGATTTTCTGATTTATGAACCAGAAATCTATATGCTATACTATTGTACGCATATCCAATAAATACACAATCGACCGTCTTTGGCCCGATTCTCATTTGTTTGGGTTCCGGTACTGAAACCTTAGCCAAACACCCCCACACTTTTAGGTATTTATAAGACGGCTTACGATTTTTCCACATTTCGTAAGGAGTCTCATCTTTCCCTTTAGGTGGTATTTTATTCAGGATATGATTTGCTGTTAAAACAGCTTCCCCCCACATGTTTTGTGGTAATCCTGAATTTATCAACATGGCATTCATCATTTCTTTTAACGTACGGTTCTTGCGTTCAGCAACACCGTTTGACTGTGGAGAATAAGGGGCTGTCGTTTGATGAATTATGCCATATTCAGAACATATTTGTTCAAAAGGAGCTACATACTCCCCACCCCTATCACTTCGGATTGTTTTAATCCTTTTGCCGAGTTGATTTTCAACTTCGGTCTTATAGATTTTAAAAAACTTCCACAGCCTCGTCTTTGCTTCTTAATAAATATAAGTAGCAAAACATTGTGCAATCATCGATAAAAGTAATAAAATACTTTTTACCCGTTCTTGTTTGCACACTTTTCATATCACATACATCAGTATGGATTAAGCCTAATGGTTCAGTACACCTTTCCACCGAGTGAAAAGGCAACTTAGCCATTTTTGCTTCAATACAAATCTCACATTTCTTATGTGATTCAATTTAGAATTAGGAATTAATTCTAAATTCATCAACCGTTTAATTGCATTTCGATTTACATGTCCCAATCTAATATGCCATAAATCAGAGCACTCAACGGTATAAACAGAAATAGGCTTTTCATTATCATTTAAAACGGTTACACGGCTCACGGCCATAACATTCATTTTAAACATACCCTTGTCGAGATAGCCACGACCAAGGAAAGTTCCAAACTTGCTAAGAACAAATTTCTTAGCATCAAATACCAGCCTAAATCCATGCTCAACAAGAAGAGATCCAGAGACCAAATTCTTGCGGATGTCTGGGACATGCAGAACATCCTTAAGTTTCAACTCCTTTCCAGAAGTCAGCTTCAGCACCACAATGCCCACTCCAGCCACATCAGCCGTGGCGGAGTTTTCCATGTAAAGTTTCCGACTCTTAGCAGGAGTGTATTCAGAAAATACCTCCTTATCGGAACACACATGACGAGTGGCACCAGTATCGATGTACCACTCCCTTGGGTTATCCACCATATTGGCTTCAAACACCACAGCCGACATATCAAAGTCAGTTATTTCACCCGGCACAGGGCCGTGTTCAGCAACAAGGGCACTCGGTTTACCTTTCTTTGGCCCAGCCTTCTTTGGCCTCTTGCAGTCTTTAGCCATATGGTTCGGCTTTCCACAATTATAACAAGTTCCGGTAAACTTCCAAACCTTGGCAGGCTGCTTCCCTTTGTCTAGGGACTTCCTCTTGCTCGAATTGCCTTGCTCTATCAAGTTAGCACGAGCCTCCATCATCGGAATTTTTCCCGATGAATTACGATTGTCCTCCTCAATACGAAGACGAACAATCAAGTCTTCAAGACTCATCTCCTTCCTCTTATGTTTGAGGTAGTTCTTGAAGTCTTTCCAACCCGGCGGCAACTTTTCAATCACGGCCGCAACTTGGAATGACTCGCTCAGAGACATTCCTTCAGGATGGATATCGTGCAAGATAAGTTGAAATTCTTGCACTTGGGACATGACGGTCTTAGAGTCGACCATCTTGAAGTCAAGAAACTTGCCGACGACGAATTTCTTTGCCCCGGCATCCTCAATCTTGTACTTCTTCTCCAAAGCAGCCCAAAGCTCTTTGGCAGAACCAACCGAGCTGTACACATTGTACAACTCATTACTAAGTCCGTTCAGGACATAGTTACGGCAAAGGTAATCACCTTGCCCCCAAGCTTCGTACGCAGTGCGTAGTTCAGCATTGGTCTCATTTTTAGCAATAACCGGGGGGTCGTCCTTCAGGTATTTCACCAAACCCAAAGTGGTCTGGTAAAAATGCATCTTTTGTTGCCACCTTTTAAAATCAAGCCCATTGAATTTTTCGGGCTTATCAGCAGTAGGGACATGGACAGCAGGTACATGATTGATCGGATGCTGAGTGTTGGAACCATTTCCGGTGGAAGCCATCAGTCCAGTAGGTTGAGATATTCTTCTTGCGATTGTTACAACTATGGGTATAATAATACACGGGAATCCTACTAACTGATATATATTTTTCAGTTCTTACAAATAATCTAAAAAGTAGAAAATTACAATAGAACTGAAAAAATAAATTACAACTGGAAAATAAATTAAAACCTAAAACGGAAAGATTTTAGCCGAGGCGAGTAAAACTCTTTCCGCAAGAAGAATACGCCCCGTGTGGCTGCTAAAGGTTCAGGCGTAACTTCCCCAAAGATACAACGGCAAACGTCTCTAAATCTGTAGCACACCAGATTTACGAGCTCCGGCGAACTAGAACGGAGTCGAGAATTGAGCACTAAAAAATAAAATTATCTATAAGATAATTTTCTTTTTTTTTTTTTTCCTTTATTCTTCCTCTCTTCTACCGTGTTCCTTTCTTTCTTTCTGTGTGTCTTCTCAAATGAGCAGAGACTCTATTTATAGATGAGAAAATGCTAATCAAGTTGCTTGGGAATCAATTCTTTGCAATAATTATGATCAATTATTTGCAATAATTTTGATCAATTATTTGCAATAATTTTGATCAATAATTAAAGTCAACTTTGCCAACCAATAATCCAAGTTGTACAATCATTTACACTCAATTATTAAAACAGTATGTTCAACTGTCCTATGGTACGTTGTATGTGGCTTTTTACACGTGAAATTTTGAGAAATGAATTGCCAGTGTTTTGGGTTTTGTGGAAGCTACCTCAAAAATGCTCTAGGTATGGTACCTCAAGGCTTTAGTTTTGGGTCGTTAATATATAAACTTCCAAAAACAAATGTTAAGATAATATTAGTGATGTTTTAAAATGTTTGTAAATTTTGGTTGACAGAAGTCACAGAACTGCCGAACATTTTGTACTTTTTCTGAATTTTGCTCGATCTAGAACTCAAATATTAAACAAACCAGCCTCTGGATGGATGCTAAGATTAAGCTCGATCAGGCTTTTGCTGGAAGAAGAGGAATGTTGGAGGATGGTGAAAATGAGAAGGGATAAAATTGGAATCTAATGTCTGACAATACAAAAATGTTCTTGTGATCTGAGAAAGTTTCATGTGCAGCTGCATATAAAAAAATTGATTTTGAAGAGGGCAAAACGAGAAAAAGAGTAGTCGAGACACAATTTTGCAGCAGTGATTTCAGATAATGTTGGTATTGCATTGCATAAATGATAAATCATAAAGGATGAACCTTTTGGTTGCAGATTTTACAGGCAAGTACACAGAAACATAAAAACAACATACTCTCCATACGTGTATATAAATAGAAGCCGGCCAAAGCACCTTCCGAATTTTGTCCTCATTGTTCTTTATAGAGCTCACGACCAATGATCATTCTCCTAATTTCGCTGGTTCCAGCCCCAATTTCGTACAATTTTGCATCCCGAAGAAGACGGCCTGTTGGGTATTCGTTCACATAGCCATTGCCACCCAGACACTGAATAGCCTGAAACACGACCAAAATTTTTAAAGTTGGTGTCACGGTTTTATCAGTTACAAATTATCAATAGCAAAATCGTGATCCTTCCCATTTCCATGTGTGCTCTTAATCATTCACAATAGTTCAAAGGAAAGAATAGTCATGTCCTTCCTCAGAACTGTCTAAAATCTAAATATTTAGCACATTTATCAAATAAAGAGGCACGGTTAGAAATGACCTCTTATGAGGGAGGTAAATTGATGCAATTTTGGAAGATAGCAGTTTTATTTTTCCTTTTCTCCCAAATTAGACTGAACATCACACAACTTTTGTAATGACCCCTTCGAAATTAATTTTTAAATCAAGATAGTTTCTGTAACTGCCCCTTTAGAAATGAATTAGAGCTTGATAGTCCCCACACATGAAGTACACATCAAATCTAGAGATAGCCTCTGCTCACTCAATTGAGGATCCTAAAATGAATTGGTTAGAGGAGTTGTTCACGGTATCTCTTGTCTAAACTGATAATTAGATCTTTCAGAAAATGAAGTTTGGCTCTCTACCTGAAGAGCAACTTGTGTGGCTCTTTCAGCTGCGCAGAGTATCACACCAGCACAGTCCTACACAACAGCATATGTTGTTCAACACTCGCAAAAATAAATATTTGAACTTGCAAAAATCTGTGCTAGGAAAGACAACATATGTTATCGTGTGTACCTTTGGATTAATTAGTCCGCTATCACAATCCCTGGCGACAGAGTAGACATATGACCTGGAATGAAATGAAAACTTTCTTAAGTTTTCCAACAAGTCAAAAATTCAAATATCAGTCATGACATTAGCCGTAACTTCCACCTTGAAGACTGTAACGAAGTATACATATCAGCAACCTTTCCCTGCAATTGGTCAATATATAAATTTCAGTAAAGCAGAGGGTTTTGAAATGTGAAGTAGAAGGAGGAATACATTGCTTAATTTATTAGGTGGTTCCAACCTGTATAAATTGAAATTCTCCAATTGGTTTTCCAAACTGTTCTCGCTGTTTAACATAGGGAAGAACAACATCGAGGCATGCCTGCATGATTCCAAGAGGTCCTGCTGCCAGGACAAGCCTCTCCAGATCTAATCCCGACATCATTACATAAACACCTGTTGCAATTTTTTTTGCCGTAATTTAGCCAGAGGTCTTTTGAACTTGTATACAAATCAATGGAGAATTCTTTGGTCTTAATAATTCTTGTATCTATGGATTTCTACGTGTGTATCAGAAATCTTGACAAAGATTAATCCTGCCAACCTCCTGACTCCATTTTCCACTAATATAAGAAAATAAAGCTCTAACAAAGGCAGATAATCGAGAAACAAAATTACATATGCACCTAAAAAATAGATAGATACTACTGTTTCTACAAGAAATTTATCATGTTTTCGTGAAAGCAAATGAAACCATTTTAAGTCTTACGATTACCATCATTGCTTTGTTTTTTCCTATATTTGTGTTTTATTCTTCTGGAACAAGAAACAGAACATGATTGGCCTAATCTGGACAAGAGAAAGAGCATAACAACAAATATGGAGAATTTAATTTTCGTGAATGGTGTTAGGATACCTGGTCTTAGACCAGAATCTCAAATGAGATGTTGATTTATATTGACAACATAAATATCGAAGAATGGGAAGCAGGTAAACCAGAGGATGAACTTCACATCCGTATCAGTATTGAACTTAATACCTTTCCCTTCCTCGCCCAGAACATTTTCCTCAGGAACAAAACAGTTCTCAAACACAAGCTCACATCTGGATTTATTTTTGATGCATTCTATAAGGATTCAGATTCAGGCCATTCCTTGCTGATACAAAAAGGACACAAATTCAAAGCAGGATATAACTGCTCAAGCAAAATCATGCTTACGTGTCACTTCCACGCATCCCCAATTTGTCTAGCTTCTGGGCGGTACTAAACCTGCAATAAACCGATTGCAAAAGGAATTTTAGGCATAAAGCAAAAGTT